TTTGTTATCTTTGTTTTAGTTCGTCTAATAGAATTCCAATTTAATAACTTAGATATAAATTTTTATGAGAGGAAGCTTTTAAAGTCTTCAAATTGGTTGTTAACTACATAAAATCAATGACTTACTATTTAAATGTATTATAATATAGTACCTGCAATATAGTAAAACAAATGGTAAATATACAAACTTAAAATCATTCTTTCTATAAAGAATAGATTCAGTATTTTAAGAAAAGTCAGAAACAAAATAAATAAATGTATATCTGAGTATACTATCTGGTATATACCGTGTCCACAGAAGTTCTTATTCAGAATGTTTTTTACCGTTGTAAGCAGAAATACACTGATAATTACAAAAATGTTTGAAATCACACAAAGGTCAATGCTTTATCATTTTTAAATGTCAAAAATCGAGAGACAAAATCTACAAAATCTGAGAGAGATAATGCATTTTAAATCTGATGATAATATTCAGGTATCGTACACATACGGAAGCTTGAAAGCATTCAGGGATTGCACAGACAAGCTGTCAAAAATCATACACACATGGAAGATCGAAATGTTTGCATTTGCAATGTAATTAAAAGTAAAATATGAGTAAAATACCGCTTCGTAAAAGGTTACTGATGATGAGATTAAGTGACACCAGCATTTCTATGCAGATTATTGAGAAACATATTGATAAACATATTTTTTTAAAACAAAAAACACAGACAGTCATGAGTATGGGCATGTAGCCGACTCGTAATACTATTCGTATTAATTAAAAGTGAAAATTGTAGTGGAATTAAATTTTCGTACGGTTTCTAGATTATGGATCTACAGTACCATAACGTTTTTGCAGTAATAAAATGTTTTTAGTCTTTATAAATTACTTGCATGAAAAATCTTTCAGCACACAAACTGTGTGAAAATTATAAGTAAAGAACTGTAAGAAAAAATGCCGAATTTTGTTCCTTCTAAAGTTATAATTTTAATAACCCATCAAAGAATAATATTGGAGATAATCTGCTCTTTCTCAGCTTTAAATCACTCGAAGTCATCAATGTTTTGCAGTTCTATAATCAACGTTGAAGATTAGGAATATCTAATATTTCATCTATAAATTCGTTTTGTTAAATTTTCATCATCGACAAGCGCAAATGACATATTGATTGTGCGATATCCATATATCCGATTTTAATTATGCGGGACATACGTTTTGTTCTTCCAGCAATGTATCTTTAGAATCAAAGAGTTAATAAGTATGTAATTTCGAGAAGGTAGTAATGCTAATTTTCACACTAAGGAAATAAAGAAGAAACAAATGTGATAAGATTTTCTGGTTTTATTCTGGAATTGAAATGATCTAAAGAACTGCAACAGTCCCGCTTCAGGCCATACCAAGCTAGCCCTTGCATTAACTTGCATATGTTTAGTGATTTACTTGTCAAAAGCATGTCTTTTTTAATGTTACACTTTTTATTTAGTGCTAAAAGGGGTAATTCTCAATAAACGAATAGTGGCTTTATTTACTTCTGTTAAAAAATTGAAATAAGGAGTCAACCTATATGCTTAACACCTTGAAAGAAGTTCGGATAACAAAAATCTTATACATGGAATGCCTGAAGCAGTGTGATAGCTGAAACATCATGCTAAAGAACTATCTAATGAACTTCCGAAGTTAGCTGTGTGTTCTTTGTCATGTAAGTTCTTTGTAAAGAGAAATGTTTTGAATCCGCTCTTGAATTCATGTACCTGAACACCATACAATAGATTGCCATTTTGGAAAAGCAAGACGATATCATTTCGGATTTCCTAAATCGTATTAAAAGACATGCGATTTCATCAAATCAAAAGAGTTAAAAGACATCATTAATCGCGTTTTATTTACAACAATTTAATCAAGATTTATGAACTTCATGCTTTCCTTAAGTCTTTTTTGGTAAAAGAAATAATTGTTTGCTTTGCTTTATAAGATTTAACGAAATGCGATAAAGGAATTAGTAAAGCCTTTATGTTATTTCACCAGTTTGCAATAAAAAGAAATATTATACTAACATTGTGACTAATGCTTTAAGTGCCTAAGCAGTCTTTTCATTCATTCTAGCTAACTCCAACAGGTACAATAAATTTGATACTGCGCAAAATAACATTCACTTGAGCCGTAAAACTTCCTGGTACGCTCAAATTCCATCTCGAAGGAGGATGAGAAGACTAAGCCTTTCAACCTTTCAGAGCTAAATTTGCATAAACAATCGCATTTTTACTCAATCTCCTCCCGTCAACTTATCCTCTGTAAGTTTTAATCTTGCAACTCATTCGGAAAGGCTTAAAGACGCCGAACAGAAAAGTGCGAATTTTCGAGAAAACGTGAAGTGTGACAAAACACAATCAGCTTGAAATGGAGTCGATAATCCTATTAATCTGACACTTTTCGCTATGTATTATCCTTCGATGGCACGGCTAATGGAAGGAAGAGGATGGATTCTGAGAGTGCCTCTCATTATGCTAAGTGAAAAAGGGCTCGCTCGAAGATAGAAATAATTTTTCTTTGAGCTAGTGCCTTTTGTGAAGAGAACGCTAATAGATAGACGGGACTCTGCTAATTTAGTTTCCTGAAGATTTGCAATGAATCAAGCGCTGATTGTGCCGAATGCAACTTCCAGACTGTAGTGCAATTTCTTCATCTTTTCTTTATTTCTATCTATTTGTTGCAATGCAAATGGTTATGTCAACGATTCGCTCTCTTTTACTTTTAAAGCTGTGAATTCATCGCTATGACTCCTACTGTATGATTCACGAGTGTTTGCTACCTTAGAAATAATACAGAATAAATCTAACGCAATTCATTCGGGAATTTTATTCAGTTAGAGAAATTTCCTTAGAAGTATTTTATTGACAGATAATTCTTTTATTGCCATAAACTCTAGAAGGAAATACGAGTTGAAACATAGAATATATATTTTACTTTATGTATAACTTTTGTATTTCTTTCGTACATCATTTAGAGTTTTCATTTCTTAAACATTTATGTCTGTATTTTCCGTTATTTCTAACACTGTTTTCTTAGTATCTCACTTAGAGGCTCTTTCTTCTAAAGATAAATATTTTTTTTTTGATATTTCAGTCGTAATTACCATAATATATCATTTACAATCTTTATCCTTTACGTTTTTACATTTACAGTTCTCCTCATATTTTCCTAATTTTCCTTAAAGGACGTTTTTTAATCTGTAATGTTTAACTTTCTGAGAAAAAAGAAAATTTTGCTGCTTATCTTTTAATAAATAATGATAAAAATTAACCGCTGAATCATTCAGTCAGTGAATGAAACAAACCATTCTTTCGAGGCCGATATGACATTATTTCCTTCAAAAACCATTTTGTAAAGGGGAAGCAGCAAACAACCAAATTATAGTACGGAAATCAATTAGTGAAAAAAATGGAAAAGAGATGTATCGCAATCTGTTGAAGTAAATAGAAACAAAAGTGAATGCTAATATATTTGTATTTGCAAAAATGGTAGTAAAAGTTTTGAAAAAATGAACTGGAGGCGACGTTATTAACTATACATTTTCCCCAAGTTTGACAGGCTTCAAAGAAATTCAATTAATCGACTGAAAAAAATTCTGGATAATTTTTGCAAAAGCTCCGAACTGTACTTAAATGAAACCTGACATTATCTATCGAAGATTTATTTTTAAATTTATTTTTTCGGGGCATAGTATTTGTAGTCTTTGATACGAAATCTTATCGCTATTTTAATTTGGTCTCTAAATATCAAACAACATTTATTACGTTTCCTCTCTCATTACCAAATTACTACGTGGTGTAACTAAAATACATCATCGGATTAGTAATCGTAAATTCAGGAGTTCGAATCTCGACAAGGAATTCAAATTTTTCACGGCTCCTGCCCCGAAATAAAAAACCTAATAGACTGGCGCCTGAACCAAAACGGTGGTGGACGCTAATTTGTCACCATTAGGCATGGCGACGGAGTCCCAGGCTTTCCAATGTTTTTTAATTGAGCGTAGCACTAACACACATCTCGAAAGCACATAGTAAGGAGGAATAATGCAAGGGTTTTCTCCCTACGTAACTTTATACATTGTCGCTTTGTCATAGTATGTACCAGAAACTATGAATTATGATCCATCGCAAGTGAACTCATAGATAAAAAATAAGCTTAGTTGCTTTACAGTAATTATAATTATATATAATCTTCGCAAATTTAGTCTAAGACATTTATTACAAGCATATATGCATGGGTGTTGATGTAAAACTAATGTTTAGATATTCCTGATAATATTAAAGTGATTATTACTGATAATATAATTTTATTAATTATCAGTAATTAAATATAGTTTTAGGAAAAAATATTTCATGGCAAGAGAAAAAAAATGGGAAGAGGCATACATTTGATTCTCGTTCACATATCCCAGAAAAATGAAAATGTATTGAAATGAACCAATTTCCCTTCTACATCCTCCATAAAGACATATTCCTGCTTAAGCATACAGACCTTGTGTGTTTGCCGTAATCAATTGTACACGTACGAAATATAATACTACGAATTAATATTTATCTCAATGCAGCCAGTTAGTGACTACTTTATAGCAAATTCTTTTGTAAGATATTAGAATATGTAAAATCTTGAAATATGTAGCATGATTTTATTTGCTCATGCACATTTCATGCTTTTTTATTTCGTTTAAATACAAAGTATTGCATTTGCATTAATATAAGTATTTTATAAACCTTATAGCTGTAGTTTTCGAAAGTTTGTGTATGGCTTGCTGGAATCAATTTTTATATTGTTTTAGAAATCGTTTTTTAGACATTGGTTTCAAAACATTGTTTAAACTGTCTTTCCAAAGTACCGACAAGCAAAAATTTAATTCTGTGTAAAAAAATTCACATTCTGTTCTTACTAAGATTCATTTAATTTTTCTCCTGTCGATTAACTCATGATCTTCCAACAAATATTGCATAATATCTGGTATTTTAATATTTCAGATGTGGGCCGTGTGATCACTCCTCAGCCAGTGTGTGTGGTTGTCCCGCGAGATGTTTCTGAATATGAAGAATTACCACCAGGCGTAGAAGATTCTAGAACTCTCCAACCACAAGAATCATGGAATACATTTTTCAGCCACCCAGAAGCTTCTTTCGTCAGGTTGAATTTTTCAGTACCACACGGTTCTCGGTTAGCACTCTTGGCGAGGAAAAATGATCCTCCATCTATAACCTCCTACGATATCATGGAAGTTATTGGCGATGAATTACGGCGATATGTTAGAGCTACTCTGGTAAGTCAAGATAAAAAATATATTTTCATTTTTTTTAGAATCCCAGGATTTCTAAATATATTTTGAAAACTATAACCTACCAAATTTTAGTTTTTCTTTTAGTACTTCAGTTATTTTCATGTTCCACTTACTGCCTTGCGTGCAAGATTCTTGTTGAATTATGTGACTGACGTTATAATTAGAAGCTTTATGTTAATTATTAGTACTTAGTGGATTATTACTTGTTAATCAAATAATTACAGAGTAGCATAAAGTATCTGGTCTTCTTCGGGAACGTACGATTAGACCAGACCTCTAAAATACAGCTAGTGTCTTTCCTCTGTACTTTTAAATATCACAGAGACAGGTAAAGAACATTTTTATTAATTTAAACAAAGTTTAACCGACAGAACCAACCCGTTCTTACAGGAGCCAACACTTTGGGCTTAAACCAAAGATAATGGATAAACATAAAATTAATGAAGTATAGATTAACGGCTTTATAATTTTACTAGCACACAAACTGTATCTGACTGAAGTCGGCGTAAACAAGCTTAATGGCAAGAATAACTCATCGTCATAGAATTCTAATTGCTAGAGGATCAAAATTAGTGACGTAGCCTTCAAGCAGCCAAAGCATGCTCTGATTTCATCCTCCAAAATCTTCCTTTAAAAATACTTCCTTCATTCAGCCTAATTTAAATATCGCGCTCTGGAAATTTACATTTTGGCAGGGAAATAAAATGAAGCTTGGCGGAAAAGTAATTTAAATTAAAATAACGATTTAGGAAATTAAGCCTTACAAGCTGCTAAAACAGATTTGGAACTTAAAATAACATTAAATTAGTTTGTTTTTTAATTAATATACTTTGTCAGCTTTGTTTGATGCTTGATATTAATGTCTTCCTTTACGTAAGTAAAAGTTAATTTTATACGCTTCTCTTATTTCGAAAATTATTTGCATTAAATTAATAAATATATTTTCCTCTAAAACAGAGTTGAAGCAAAATTTAGAATTAAATTAATTTAGCGTTTTACGCTCAAAGAAATAAAATAATTCCCAGATGGTGGATATTAACGTTTTTCATCATGTAAATGATAGTTATTTTCATAGTCTTGTAAACACACAAAAATTATATTACGGAGTAATTTTTACGCGGTATTTATAAAACGTTTATTATTGTTTGCAAATTATAAGAAAGAAAACTTTGCTATATTAAATCTGTTTCTGCTTAATGAACAGATTTAAGCAACAAATACTTAGAACAAATTCTTTATTTTATAAAACGACATTTCTAAAGCGAACTGTTTAGATTTTAATTTTAAAATAAAAAGTATATTGATAAACTATAAAGAATCGCTCCTATAACTTATTTCGTCTTAAGTAATTTATGAACTTCTGAAATGTATAAACTATGGATTTGAATAACGCAGTTTCATGTAATTGTTCAAAATGTCACACTGTTTGAATTCTCCAGTGAGGAGTTTAGGCTATGGAAAATGTAAAACTCTATAACTTCTGCATAATTTTTTCAAACACATTTTTCATAAAAACACTAAAATTTGTCATTTAATTGAATGCATTTGTAATTCTATGCAGCGGGTCTACTGATTTATTCCGAAGGCTTAATTGTTGTGCTTAATAATAAATACTATAGCAAAAACTAGTGTTTATTCTGATGAAAAATATACGTATAAAGAGTTTATATTATAAAATGCGTTATGCGTTTTGACATTACTGACGGTACTCAAAACGAGAAATATATTTAAAAAAATCATTTTTTATCCAAAACAATGCAACATCGATAGAGAGATAGTATTTTTCAACATCTCTGCTTGGTGTTTTTCAGTGTTATTAGCTATTCAGAATTTTTTGAATTTTTCTCGACCTGTTTAACCAGTTATGAACAATCTGTGAAATATTTGCTTTCTAAGGTGAATAGTCATATTTTAAAAAAGACATTTCATAGATTTAAAATTTATTTAAAAACCGAAATTATAATTTGCATTTAACTTCAAAAAATCATGCAATGTATTTCTATGTTATCAAACGAAATATTTTCGTCAGAACATTACATGCGCATTAATGTATAATTTTATAAAACCTACTGTTTGAGAATATATATTTAAAGAAATTATTATATAAGCCTGCTTTTTGGCACATCGTGTGCTGTTTTTATTTGGCAGGTACACTTCTGCTACTGTAAGGTAAAACCAAAATCAAGTGCAATTTTTAACTGTAATTCTAGCAGACTGCTTAAGATAAATCTTGTATAGTCTTCAAGTATATTTCAAAATTACTTAAATATAACAAAGTAAATTTATTTATTTTAATTTACATTTTTAAATTCTTTGAAAAGTTAAAAAATTTAATCGAAAATTAATTTAATTTCGAATTCATGCAAATCTTCCTCATCTGAGTCAAAAAAAAATTTAATTATAAATTTAGAAGCTTGCATATTTTTTCACAGGACCTATGATATTTCCCGTTCTCTAAGAATCGCAGCTCTATGAAATTAATCAAACTCGTACTCTACAACCGGTAACAAATGCTATAAACTACCGAAATAATATCGCTTCCAGTTACTGGATTATCTCGTAACCTTCTTTCGGAACAGATAATGCAAAGAAAGACACTGATATAAGAAAAGTAATGTATCCCACACATTATGGTTATCGAAATGGCTCGTGAAAGAATGGAATCTGCTGTTTGCGAGATGGTGCTGTCACCTTTGATGACGTCATCATTTTCTCTTAGACGGTGTATAGTGGGAATAACGAAGCCATTTTCGATAAGCGGTACCTATGCGTATTGTGGAATCCCAAAATAACTGATTTCGTTGAGTAAAACACCTTGCATGCCCAAAACAAATCTTCTCATATACAGAAACGATATGCATTTTCTTCCTTCTAATATTTGTATGTATTATTTTTAGGATGAAGAAGTTCAAATACAAACGTTACGTGTGTTTGATAGTTTAGTGTAAAACGTAATCTAAGATATGCGAACTCTGTGCTTTTTTAACATAAAAATGCATTTCATTTGCCGAGAACACTTAAAAATCTCATTTTACTGAATTTAAAGGAAAACTAAATACTAATATGCTTTTTGTTTATGAAGATAAAAATACAATTAGCAAATGCTTATTTTCCGATGTAGGAAGTTATTACAAAACAAATCGAAAGAGGTATTTACCTGTCAGATAAATTGTGCTTATAAATGAAAAGGTTTAGAACAGGAGATAGTCAAAAGGTGGGATTACCTGTATTTCAGTATCAATCTTACATAAAAGTGTAAATCCTATACATTTTGGAACATTTGCAATTGCTTATCTTTATGTTAGTTCTCTTAACATGAAAAACACCAAATATGAACACGGCCCTCTATACCTGGTTTACAACTTCATACAATCTTAATTTAGACCAAGTATATTTTATGCAAACTTTAAATGCGGATCATGGAGTGCGTCGTAGCTAAACCGTTATCAGACTTGTAGCTATCCTCAGCTGCGCGTCGAAAGGGATTATTCCTGGGAAATTCCACCTCCAGGAAATCTGATTGGTTGACCTTCGGGAAAATGTCCCACAAATATATTTTTCCTGCCTGCTCTACACAAGAAGACCTATACGTGCTCATCCCTTCCAGCCTCGTAAAATATGCCAACACATCGCTGAGAGGAAAAGTTTCGTCTAGAAAACCATATATTCAAACTATTGTTGAAAACCACCCTTTTCTTAAAATAATTTCTCGTAGCGCCCCGCGTCATTATATGTTACTAATCCCGTTAAGATAGAAGGCTCTCAAGACATTGGTGTGGGTGGAATGTTGTATAAGTCAGAGATATTTATGCACTAGAATCACTGTAGAAAGAATACATTTGAAAGCATTTCGTTTGAAATCCCTTTCTCGTTGTTTGAAGAAGATTACATACAAGTCCTTCAGACTCCCGTTCTGGGTTTTCTTGATCAAGAGTAGAATGAAAAGAATGAAACTTGACAAATATTATATTCCATCATTGCTGCTCGAGGTGTTAATCAGTGACAGATGAAAATGATCCTATTCAAGAAATTTGTCCATTTTATTAACACAGTATAGGCATAACAGCATCAGACATTGGTACAGCTACATTTTATTTGGATCATATATTCCCAATAGACACTAAGAACGTATTATTTACTTTCTCACATAATCTTAAATATCCCATGTGCCCACTTCCATTCAACAATGAAAAAATGTTTTCTAAGCCACGCAAATAACAATTTCTATTTTCTGTGGCGCTCTCTTTCAAAAGCTTACTTTGGTTGATGATCTGTTTTACACTCTAATTAATATTTAAATGGAAATAACTTTTCCCAGTTCTCATGATTTGTAAACGAGAAGAAAATAGTTAATACTTTACAAAGATTATTTTAGCCTTTGCTCATCTTTCATTAATGCAGTAATATTTACTAGTTAAACAAACATAAAATGCTGAAATATTGTTCATGATTGCTATGCTTCACACCCTTGAGATAAATTTCCTTAAATTCATATTTTTCAAAATGATGATGATTCTCCATGCATATTGTATTTCCCAGAAAATAAGACCTAATCGAATAATAACCCTTATTATGATGTTTCATATGCTGGTAATGTAAGTCCTACTCTCAATGTAAGTCCTACTTCAGATAGTCAGTCAGACGGACACCATACTTTTAGGTGTAGTGACCAGTCGACTTGCAAAAACAACGCATATTGGTATTTATTAGCGAACGAATGTAATTGTGATTAATTAGATTTTTCATAATTCAGAAGGTCCTGCTTTGTAACAGGATGCAAATTATGCACTCGTATAAAATAAATGACCGTTTTCTAAATTTTTTGTTTCCTAACAGAAGACTAGGCTTTATATTTATATATTATTTATATTTATACTTCCATACCAGATTTAATTTCATGTGAAACTAGGTCTTTAAGATATTAAAGAAATATTAGATATGAAGGTATAAAAAACTATTGTTAAAATTCTGTATTTTGAAAT